TGAGCACCAGCTCCTTTGCTCTCTTCAGAACCGCCATCTCCAGTGGTTTGTTTTCTAGAGGCAGAAGTCGCGAGTCGAACTCTGCTGGCCTGAACATGGACTCCGTCTCTATGACAGGCCGCTGAAAACTACTCCTCTCTTTTTTCCTCCTCTTATCTTTCTCCTCGTCTTTCCCTGCATCTTCATCCTCTTCTTCGCTGGTGTTTTCCAAGGCTGCGATAGCATGATGGTAGGAGCTTCTGTCTCCTGCCACCTCCTCCTCCTCCTCTTTCCCCGTCTCCCCTTCTCTCTTCAGTCTCTCCACATAGCTGCAGAGTGTTAGCTGAGCTTCACAGCTGTGCTCTGTGATGGGGTTAGGAGAGTTTGACGATTCCCACTCCAGAGGGCTGCAGGACCTCAGGTCTGCAGGGCTGGGCTGCAGTCTTTCACCCTGTCCTGTTATTGTCTCTGAATCGGGACACTTAGCAGCATCAGCAGGTGAAACTAGAGACCCAGAGGAGCAGCAGGAGTCTGCAGGCAGCCGTAGATGTTGCAATTTCAGGGGCTTCACTGGAGGAACAGGAGGGCCTGCAGTGGCTGTGGAATAACAAACACATCCATCTATAATGTTGCATTTGAAAATAAAAGTCAATATTGATGTAAACAGATGTTTACCATCCAATAATAATAAAATAACTTTGCATAAATATATTTAAAAAAGATATATAAAATAAAAGGATACCTCCACTCGCCCAGGAAGAATCAGGGGTTTCTACACGTCTGGGCTCCTGTGGAGGTGCAGCCAGTCTGGGAGAGACACAGGAGGTGTCTGTGAGGTTTGAGGAGCTGGAGGAGGGAACTCTAGCCTGAGGACAAGAGGAGTGAGCCAGGCTAGCCAGAGGAACCTTGCTGGGTTTGGGAGGCGGTTTGGGACACAGCTGGCTGTCAGAGCCCCGGATCGCTTGGCCTGGAGGAACACGAGTGCCGTAAAAGTTACACAAAAGCTGTTTTGGCTTTTATACATATAAAGACTTGGAACGTTTTTAAGTATCTAATATTACAACCCCTCTGACTTTTTAACATTTTTAAGATATTATTATTTAAATTCAAATACAATGAAAAGCATGCATCACACTCAGATTTCAGCTATATTATCAGATTGTGAATTAGAGCAGAGAGTCCCAGCAGAACAGGAGGAAAATTCATTGTCTAACATTCAAGCAATGGCAGGAGCAGCCCGGGAGAGTGTATTATATTACACCCACATACTTAGGAAGGCACAACGGCTGATTAATTTTAAAACCCCCACGTGGGCTTTTATTGGCTCTTAGCGAGCACCACACAGTTATTTTTAGCCTGATAATCAGTCCAAACTGCCACTTTGTTTAGCTTCATTATTTCTATACCATTCAGATGCCTGGACCAAGACTACTTTATTTCAACCTCGATTGCTATTCTTGTCATTTATTTCCTCCATCAAAGTGGTTTTGTTTGCAGGATTAAAAATAAAGAAAGAGGTGAAAAGTACCAACATTTAGAAGTCAGTACATTTTGGATTTGTCCATAAACTGTCATTATGACGCAGGGCAAACTTGTCATCTTGCATTTAATCTTTAGAAATTCATACCAAAACAAAAATTGGAGACATCATCATGATGTTCTCAACAAAATATCAAACTAAATCCCTGGATCAGGACATCCTTGTCCTTTGGGACTTGATTTATACAACCTGTATAGGGAACTTTTAGTCTTGGCAGAGCTGTGGGCGCTCAGGCTGCTTTTGTTAATTGCAGTTTTTTCTC